AGGGGGGACGCGGCTTGCAGAGGAACGGGTGGGGGTCCTTGGACGGGAGGATGCTAACGGGGTCCCCCGGGGGATGAGCAGTCAGCAGAGGTGGTCACGTGAGGGTATGACGACGGGGTGGAGGGCAAGACCATCTACGGAATTCTAGGGCCCGGGAGCCTGGAACGTGGATGCCGTGGTCCCCAGGAAGGGCGGCCCGAGAGGGTCCATCCAGGGGCACGAGACCGTCCAGGGGCAGCAGCAGGCTCGGGTATGAACCGTGAAGTGGGCACGTGAGTGGAACACGGGGGACTGGAGGGATGAAGGAGGAGAGACAGTCTGGAAGCAGGGGTGAGGAGCAAGGAGGATGCCCACTGAGAGAGAACCCGGTGTCCTGGGCGTGGCATCGGGGGTAGACCTGCGGGGTGGTGGCTGAGGATCGCTAAGGACCACGGCCACCACCACCAAACTCTTAAAGGGTCTGTGACCCCAAGATGTTGAAGACACACGGCCCAGGTCTGTCCCTCGAGGCTGATACGAAACAGAAGCTCTGTGATGTGCAGGAACAGAGGGTTCAGCTCACCTCAGGCCTGGGGCCTCCCCCCGCCCCCACCCCGGCAGAACCAGAGGCAGCCTGGGACTCGGGGCCAGCCCCTTGCTGTCTTGGGATTTTTGCCCCTCCCCGTTGGGACATTTGCAGGCTGGGCCTGGTGTGGCCCTCTGGCGAGCTGGGGCCACCTCACCGCGTCCCTCTGGGGAACAGTCACTCCTTGGAGCAGTACTGATGTTAATACTAATATTAATAGCCATCGAGAGCGTGCTCTGTGACAGGCACTGTGCTAGGATTTGTACCCAGATTTTGTTTCACGCTCACAATAAGCCGGTGAGGGAAGCCATGTTCTGACCCCGCCCCACCCCGCCCCTTTCACAGATGAGGATGAGTGACTTGCCCTTGGCCAGCAGGAGGTGGGGCCAGGCCTGGAAAACCCAGGCAGTCTGATCCCCTCTTCGCTGGAGAAGGGCCACCTAAGTTAGGGAGGAGGAAGGGGGATCGGGGAGGGCTTCCCAGAGGAAGTGACATTTTCATGGATTTGAATCCACACATGTTACTTGCCTGGCTCGTCCCCTGGAGGCAGGGGACCCGGGTGGGCTGGTCTACATCTCTGTCCCGAGTTCCCAGCACCGGCCCTGGCGCAGGCCAAGGGGACTCAGTGACTCTGAGAAATGAATGCACGAGGAGCATCTGCTCTGGTCCCAGCCTCGTCCTCACTGACCCCACACCAGCCTGTCTTGCTTACCAGGACAGTCCACCACCCTCGACGCCCAGTGGCCTTGGCACCGGGTCCCGGCACGCCCTCAGTCCTGGCAGTGAGTCCCAGGCCAGGGCCAGCTCACCTCTGGGCCAGGGAACTGAGGGGGTGGTGGGGCCGGCCGCGTGCGGACCAGTGGTGAGAACAGGACATTCCTGACTTGGGGAGACACTACCCCCGGCTCCCACCCCACCTCCCCAGAGCCTCAAGGTCAAGCCCCCCTCCTGCCTCAGTGCATCCGCGGGGCTCACCGCGGTGCTGATCATCAGCCCCGGCAGGTAACCAGGGCCGGGCCCGGTTAGAAGTGGGGGCAGGCATTTCAGAAGCTGTGTGCGTGTGTTGGGGTGGGGAGCACCGGAACCACGCGGTTTGGGGAAGGCACCCCAAAGTGCTCCTGATGCCCACAGCCGCCTTGAAATCCAAGGCTGTTCCTGGGTTCGCGCCCTGCGTTGGGCTCTGAGCTGACAGTACTGCACCCGCTTGGGATTCTCTCTCTTTCCCTCTCTCTCTCTCTCTCTCTCTCTCTCTCTCTCAAAAAGAATAAATAAATAAACTTAAAAAAATGCATTAAAAAAAACAACCCTCTTCTATCTGTTTACAGTGACCTGGAGGCATTTGTAATGAAGGAAGCAGATTCCTTTGAAGAAATTGTAAAGGCGGCCGCAGAGGAGGAGGAAAAGCCGCTTTAAGAGCTCGTGCCCGGGGCGCCTGGGTGGCGCAGTCGGTTAAGCGTCCGACTTCAGCCAGGTCACGATCTCGCGGTCCGTGAGTTCGAGCCCCGCGTCGGGCTCTGGGCTGATGGCTCGGAGCCTGGAGCCTGTTTCCGATTCTGTGTCTCCCTCTCTCTCTGCCCCTCCCCCGTTCATGCTCTGTCTCTCTCTGTCCCAAAAATAAATAAACGTTTAAAAAAAAAAAAAAAAAAAAAAAGAGCTCGTGCCCACCTAAAATCAGAAGACGGACCGGCACCCACTGCAGACTCCCGACGCCCCTCGCGCTGGTGCCTCCCGGATGGCGCCTCGCGGGGAGGAAGGCCCTCAGCAGCCAGACGGGCTTCCAGAAGGGCCCGGCAGAGCGGGAGGGAGTGCCTGGCCCACTTTTCTGGGAGAAAAGCCAGCGGCACTGAAATGGAAGCAGCGAGGCTGACCCAGTGGGCAGGGCACAGACGGAAAACACTAGGGCATTGGAGACACAGGGCACAAAGAGCATCAGGTAACCCGAGGCCACGCTGGGGTGGAATTTCTGGCTGGACTCGGCCTCTGCAAATGGCCCTGAGATGAGACGGACCTGCCCTGTTACCCAGAGAGCCGGTGGGACCAGCCTGCTCGTGTGGCCACCTACTGTACGCACAGGGTGAGCACACAGATGGCCAGGGCGCTGTGGGCAGGGCGTGTGGCTCCTACAGGTCACTCGGGAAGTCTGCGTGGCCTTGGCAGGCTGGGCTTGGCGTCTGCGTCCGGGTGACCTCAGGCCTCCGCACGAGACCCCACACGACGCCTCAGGGTCATCGCCGAGAATTCGCCAGGTGAGTTGATTTCTTAAGAGCCGGGACCGTAAGAAGCAGATGGGGTCAGCGTGGAGTCCTGGCTGCAAGAGCTTGGGAGAGCCCGGAACACAGACCAGCAAGGTCGTGGTGAAGGAGGCTGTTCCCCCAAATAATTCCCTCGGGAAATGGGAGAGAAAGGGGGCAGGGCCGCAGCACGACGGAGAGAGGAGCCCGATGAAGCTGAGAAGGGACAGCTGGGGACGCGGGGACCAGGCCGGCAGGGCAGTGTGGGTGCAGAAGGCCACCAGGACCCTTCTCCGGTGTCTGGCCTGGGGGAGTGGCCTGAAGGTGAAACAGCCCTGGCCCTTGCCCTCACCCCCCAGGTGGTCTGTCTGTCCCCACGAGGTCCCCTGTTCGCTCCCCTGCTGGCTCGCGGGGCCACCAGGCCAGGCCCCCGCCTGACTGGCCCTCTGGCTCGGGGCAGGCTGGCACTCCCCGCTGTCTGGGTGCCCTGCCTCTTACATCCAGGTCCCCTGGGCTGCTTGGTCTGGCTGCCCTGGGATTCCGCCCCCCCACCCCCCTCCGGGGCTAGGCTTGGCTCAGCGAGTGAGGAGGGAGGGAAGGTGGGGGTGAGTGCAGAGGAAGTTCTGACACCCACGGGGCGAGCGTGACCGAGGGTTGTTGACCACTTCTGTTCCCATCTCAGTACTGTCATTTCCTGGTGCCGGACCCTGGGTCTCACGCCAAGGTCCTCAGTGTCACTGTCAGGATGCGGACAAAATACCTACCACCTGGTAAGGGTCTCGGGCATGAAGTGCCCCATGGCGCTGAGCCCTTAAAAGGCACCAGGGTTGGTAGCTGTGGTTATCATCGTGGCTGGCGGGGGACAGACGGCCGCCATTGTCACGCCCCTGGGACGCTGGGGAGGGCGGGGCAGGGGCGGGGGCTGCTTCTCCGGCACCTTTCTGCTGCCGTGCATCCCTGCTTCGCTGAGTCCCCACAACCATCCCAATGAGAGATGCCCCGGTCACCCCCACTTTACAGATGGGGAAATGGAGGCCCAGAGAGGTGGAGTGACTTACTCAAGGTCTCCGATCTGGTCACTGGCAGAGCTGGGATTAGAAACACATCTGTCAGTTCGCAAAGCCCTTTGCCTACTGCCCTACAGCAGAGCCATTAAAGGTACTCAGGGCAAGAGTTTCTGGGGTCAGGGGAAGGACAAGCCCATCCAGAACCACTACACAACAATTTGGGGTAGGACGGAGCCTCTGGACACATGGACGTGCAGCAGTGCGGGGCATAGACCAGAGCCAGGCTGCCTGGGCTCCAGCCCCAGCATTGCTAGTATTCAGCTGTGCGACCTCGGGCAAGTGACTTCACCTCTCTGGGCCTCAGTGTGAAATGCAGGTAATCTGAGTGCATCACTTCCTGGAGTCATTATGAGGAATGAGATGAGCTAATCATTGGAAAAGTGATGAGAACAATTTCTTAGTAAAAAGAGAAAAGAGAGAGAGAGAGATGAATGAGACCAAAAAGTAGGAGCTGGAGAGAGAATTGGGCTTTAGAGCCAAGCAGGTGGCACAGAGCCCCCAGGTCCTGAAACGCATCAGAAGTGACAGCCATGGGCAAGTTACTTCACCTCTCTGTGCCTCAGTTTCCTCATCTTCAATGACAGGCGCAAGAAAATCCGCCTAAGAATCCGTAAAGTGAGTTCTGTGGTTCTCAGGAGGGGCCACCCTGTTCTCCTCTCCATGGGGGATATTTGACAATGTCTGGAGGCTTTTTTTTTTTTTTTTTTTTTTTTTTTTTTTTTGAGAGAGAGGGGCGCCTGGACGGCTTAGTTGGTTGAGCGTCCGACTCTTGGTTTTGGCTCAGGTCATGATCCCAGGGTCGTGAGATCAAGCCCCACGTCCAGCTGAGAACGGTGAGATCGTGACCTGAGCCAAGTCGGACATTCAACCGACTGAGCCACCCGGGCCCCCGCCGCCTGTATTTATTTTTGAGAGAGTGTGACCAGCACACCCTAGTTAGAGAGATGGCCCCCTGCCCGGGAGCAGCTCTGAGCCTTGGCCGGAACATGTCCCTAAGGACCACGCTGCTTTAAAGGAAGGGTGGGACACACCCATACTTGCCCTCTGAGCAAACCTCACAATGTCTCCAAGGACCCTAAAAAGAGACCCCAGGGGAAGAAATGAACAAACGCAATTCACAGTCTCCTAGGTGACTCGCTTCCTTTTTATAAGCAAATTTAATTGTTCAATCTGTTGCATCAGGAGAGAAACTTTAGAAAACCCAGACGGAAAATCACCAGTAACCTCGCACCCTTGCCTCTCAGAGGTATTTTAGGTACTTGGCAGACCGGCTTTAAGGCATGGCCGGGCCTCAAAACTTTGTGGCTCGGGGCAAGTGCCTGGCCTCAGTTTTCCCTCCTGTAAAACGGGGACAATGGGACCTACCGCTCAGGACTCCCATGAGGTTAAAGACCACGCATGCCAGCAGAGTGCAGATGAATCCGGGGAACCTCTCCACTGTGGCCTGCTTTCCGGAAGTCACCAGCGCCCACGCGCCCCTGCTCCTACGTGGTCACATCCTCACGGTTGGTGGAGACCATCCAGGCCTCCTCCATGGCACACATCAGGACGTCGCGGGAGCAGCCTGTCTGCCACGGAGTGGCCTCGGAATCACAGTCACGGTGTATCGCAGAGAAGGAAAGGCGGGGAGTGGCCTGGGCGCGCACACGTTCACAGCCGCAGGGACAAGAACCGGCCAGCGGTGTGGCCGCGGGGGCATCTTGTCTCCACCGATTTGCAGGGTTCTTTTGTGTTTTTTTTTAACCACCAGCAAGAGCTCCTGGCGCTGGTCCCTGCCCTTCCCTCCTGCTGAAAAACCAGAAAGAAAGCACTTCCTGGAGCCCCGACCAGGAGGCCTGGGTGGCCTCGCAGACCAGCTGAGTCGGTCATTTAACCTCTGTGTCGTGTGGGTCTGCTGGGAAGAGCCAATTGTCCTGTGAACTGGGGACTTCAGAGCCCCAGCGAGGGAGACTCGAGCGGTCTCACTGAGTCTCTATTTCCCAATCCGTACGTGGGGATGATGACAGGGCTGCCTTCAGAGGTTTGCCGGGAGGATGAAACAGGTAAGTGCTGTTCCCACTGCCTGGTAGAGGTCCCAGCCCCAGATCTCCCACGCCATTCGGTCTTAGCTTCAAGTTCATCGCCTCCAGGGAGCCCCCCATGCAATATACAACACAATATCGAGTAGCCCTTCTCCAGTACCTGTCACTGCACTTTTTACTATCTGACCCATCTCTGGCTCACTTTCTTTCTTTTTTTAAAAAAATTTTTTTAATGTTTATTTTATTTTTGAGACAGAGAGAGACAGTGTGTGAGCGGGGGAGGGGCAGAGAGAGAGAGGGAGACACAGAATCCGAAGCAGGCTCCAGGCTCAGAGTTGTCAGCACAAAGCCCGACGCGGGGCTCGAACCCACGAAGCACGGGATCATGACCTGAGCCGAAGTTGGAGGCTCAACCGACTGAGCCACCCAGGCGCCCCTGGCTCACTTACTTTCGAAAAATGTATTTATTTGTTGGGCGCCTGGGTGGCTCAGTGGGTTAAGCATCCGACTTCAGCTCAGGTCGCGTTCTCGCAGTCTGTGGGTTCAAGCCCCACAAGGGGCTCTGTGCTGACCGCCTGGAGCCTGCTTCGGATTCTGTCTCCCTCTCTCTCTGACCCTCCCCAAGTCACTCTCTCTTTCTCAAAAACAAACACTAAAAAAAAATCTAAGAATGTATTTATTTGTTTATTGTCTACCCCCACGATAATAAAGGGCAGGGCCTTTGCCCGTCTGGGTCTCAGCTGGATGCCCAGGACCCCAACCTCCAGAATGATGCTCCCAGATCAAGTGAGTCCTTCCTCTGGGAAGGCCTGCTCCCATGTCCACACTGCTGGTGGACTCAGCCCCATCACAGGGCACCCCTCTGACATGCAGCAGCTTCAGAGCCAGCAGGCTGCCCCTGGCTTCCAGGCCCAGCTGGCCTGGGTCCTGGCATCTGGGGTGCCATCAGTTGGAGGAGCTGTCGGCCCTGACATGTCCTGCAGCCAGTGGACCTGGACTGGTCAGAGGAGGAGACACGGAGAGACACGGAGACCCTGGTCAAAGGGGTCAGGAGACATTTTTGTACTTGGACGTGTCCAGGTGTGGGGGGTGCTGTGACCCAGACTGTGAATGCTGGGTAAGCTTTCGCGCGGTGTCAGCCCCCGAGTGGGGGCAGGGGTGCGAATCTAACCCTCCCACCCCTCCCCCACCCGCCC